ACTGGAATTAAACTAAAAGGATATGTAGATTCAAACTTTGCTGAAAATTGTGATAACAGAAAATCTACACATGCATATGTTTTTACTTTAAATGATACCTGCATAAGCTGAAAATCATAGCTACAAAAAATTGTGGCATTTTCATCAACAGAGGCTGAATATATTGTAGCTACAGACGCTGTAAAGGAAGGGATTTGGGTGAAAAATCTATTAGATGAACTTGGTTTCACTGGTAATGATGCTGTTATATACTCAAATAGCCAATCTGCTATACACCTTAGTAGAAATCTTGTTTTACACAATAGACCTAAACATATAGATGTTAAGTTCCACTTTATAAGAGAATTAATAGAGAAAGAAATCATAAACATTGAAAAGATTTCTACTAAGTGTAATCCAGTAGATATGGGAACTAAAATACTTTATTTACATAAATTTAAGGATTGTTTAAATCTTCTAAATGTCTTTGCTAACTAAATATGTTTTGCAGGTACATCAAGGAAATGAAATCAAAGGAAGAGTTATTCTCCAATCCGCAAAAAAACCCAAGATGTCAAGCAAGGTAGAGATTGTTAAGTTGCTGCTTAACATCTTGGCCTAATGATGTAGCCTAGCTAAGCCCATTTGGTTGAGAATGTGACCCGGTTGTTTTTAAATTGGACAAAGTCTTGTTTTTGTTGAACAAGTTTTAAACTGGATAGCTTAGATGATGCCATGTGACCCTGTGACTGTTGGATGCATTATGATTATATATAGAGATATGCTGGGTGTAGCCATTTACACATACAAGGGTGGGTGAATTTTTAATCACTCACCCCCTGCCCACCCACCTCTCCATGTGAGTGGACTGTACAAGCCTTGTGAAATAGGGCCAATACTGCTAGCAAAAATTTTATATATATGCTGTGACCCTTCATTTTCTGAGATACGTGAGAGTTCTATAGTTTTCTCTTCTTCTTCATTTCTAGTTTTCTCTAAAAAGGAAAACCTCTGTTTTTCCTGTAATAGTTGTTGCCTAGATATTCCTGGTAAAATCTAGTATAGGCTATGTTGATGAGAGTTTATTTCTATTCTTGTTGAGCAGTTATTCTTGGTTACTTGGTGCAATCGATTAAGGTTTGATTTTCGAGAGAAATATTAGTCTGAGGGCAAGATATGTGTGATTCTTGGTACTATAATCCTTGTATTGATACTTTGTTGGTTTCTTCTAGTGGGTTGGAGCGATAAGCACTTAGGCAAATTCTCAATGTGGTGATTAGCCTATTCTTGAGTGAACATCTGGGCCTAGTAGTCTACGGGCGAAAAAACCCTTGTGTTCTTTAATTTCTGTTATTCCTTTAGTTATTTGGGACAAAAAAACCTACACAAGCCTGCAAATTTTGCATGTGGGCGTGGCAGAAAGAGAGATGGAGATAATTTTAGAGAATGTGTAATTTCTTGATTCAGTTAAATTAGCACAATCATATTTTGTACTGGTATCATATCATTTATGTTAGAAACAGAAAAGAATATTTCATACAAGGTTATAACGACACTTTATATACCTTCTCTTTTTATAAAGAAATTATCTTGGAAGACTTAATATTTAAAAGAAAAATATGAGTAGCAACCCTCCAAAATAGAATAAAAAGAATAGTGGAAAATTCTTCTATATCCAATGCCATCAAGCTTTCTTCGCCATATAAATTATTGTTTTTAACCGACCTATTCAAGTTCAAAAATTTCTAAAATGTTTAGAGCCTAAATATTATCTAATTTCTTATCTCACGATCACTGAGGCCATTTTATCATTTAAAACATAGAGAATATGCATTAAGTTAAATATAACTCTACGTTTCTAAACTAAGATATCCACGCAAAAAATACGAAGATAAGTCCACTTCACTATAAAATCTTTTTATACTTTTGTCATTTGCAAAGTTTTAGCAAATATATAAAAGCCTAGCATCGAATGAAACAACTTTCTGACAAAGACAGAACTTATTAATGGGATACCCTAGTACATTACAAAATTTGGCTTTAGCCAATGATCCAATTAGAGGAATAATTGGAACAAGAGTATCGAACTTCTTAATAGCATTATTGATTAGAAATGCATTTTTTGACTCCGTACCACTGATATATATCCATCGATATGGCGTGGCAGATCCTTGGAGACAAAAAAGATCAAGAAAACTAAGGACGCACAGTTATTTCTGATTGAATGAAATAGTTGTAAGTGTTATGCCCTAAGTCCAATCAACTTTGGACATAGACACTTTTAATATATAATTGACGCAATTTTATGTTAGATCTATTTATTAATTAATATTCAATTAAATTAAATAATAAAGTCCGTAGATTCAAGTTTTAGTAATTTGTTAATCACAAGAGTTTTGATTGTGAAATATAAATTACGTATGATTGAATCTTAAATCATTTATGAACGTAAGTAATGAAGAGATATGAATCTCATTATTACGAATAGATAGTCACGTGTAGCATTCTTACTTGTGAAGTAAGAACTAATCTCACAAGTTAAAGTGTGGTGACACTTAAATAGACACGTGAATATTTTGTTATAGAACAAAAAATTGGAGACCCATTGGGGGATTCTATATGGATAACTATATGAGTGTCAATGGTTAATTTCTAATATTGGGTAGCGAAATTGGTTATTTGACTTGAGGTCATTATAGTACCTTATATGAGAGCAATCATACTTTTGTAATGTTAGATGTTGCTCTACCAAAGATCACTAATACGGTATCGTTTGAATATGTCAAGAATCATATGAAGATTGTGAATGACCAATAGATGATTCGTCGCTTTTTTGATAGTAAGAGATTATGATCTATATTTCATTCAATTAAGTTGATAACGAAATCCTTGACTAAGGTGTACATATAAGTCGAAAAGGAGTTATCGACTTGTATTAGCTTAATTTGGAATGAAAGACATGATCGATGATTGAGATTGACACATATTTATATCTTGTAATTAATCAGATCATATTGATAAAGGAATTATAATTTCATGGTAAACGAACAAGTTTGATTTTGTCATACCATGTGACATTTCACGTCACATGTATTGCCTTAACACATTGTTAGATGTCAATTTGGGACGACGAATGTGAATTGGTAATAAATTAAAATGGATGTTTTAATTTATCGATTTTAATTAGATCAAAATAATAATTCACGTCGCTGGGCATCGTAATTGGAAACCTAATGAGTCAGACACAAAAGGAGAACCAGAAGAATGAGAATTACCAATTAATTAATAATAAATGTTGGATAATTAATTAATTGAATTGCTTATTAATAAGCCTGAATTAATTAATTGGATTAATTAATTCATGGACCAGATTTAATTAAATGGGTTTATTAAATACTGATTGGGTTAGGAGACGCGCCAAGCTCATTTGGGCTTACATAAATGAGCTGCTAGGGTTTGAAAACTGTAGAGATTTTCATTATTCCTACTAGTACAAGAAAAATAAAACCCTGGTCCTCTCTCAATCTTATTCCCTGTGTAGATTTTCATTAGAGTCTGCAGAATTGGACAGCCATGGGTTGTAGATCGAGATTATTGGAACAAAAGAAAGACAAAGGAGTTTGTAGAATTCAAAAAAGTTATAATTTCTATCACAATTTTTATTTAAACATAAAGCAGATTCTTGGTAAGAATTGAAATATTGTTTAAATTTCACTGTACGTGATTAAGTAAATTTTCAATAGTGGTATTAGAACCTACTTTATGGTTGTTAAAAATTGTTTTACACATTGATGTAATCAAAAGTTGATTATTCATATTGTTCTTGAATCTAGCAATTAAAAAAAGTTATTTTACCTTCAAAATCTAGTTTTGAAAGGAAAAAAGAAATTGGATTGAAGTAGGGCGGCGAGCGGTGCCCAGCAGCGCGCGCTATCGCGCTTGACTACTGCTCCCAGTAAGCAGCAAAGAAGATACCGCCTGAGCGTGGCAGCCCCTACCGCATATATATTTATTTATTTATATGCATGCTAGATGTATAATAAAATATATGTAATTACTACGATGTGACATTTCCATGAAAAACCCCTCATTAAAATATAAAGTCATATTTATATTCACCTTTCATTATTATAGTGAAAAATCAGAGTCCTAAATCATCTCAATTTGCTCAGTACACTTAAGATTGGTCTATTAACGATATGTTTGACACTATGAAATAATAGATATTTCTAAATGATGTGTTTGACTTAACTAAAATTTATGTTTTGTTGAGTACGCTCAATGAGATAAATTTTAGAGGCATGTTAAGCTAATACATAAGATGTGTGAAGGCAAAGAGTTGTCAGCTTAATGATCTGGGAGTTGGATAGAGATACAATTGATAATAGTATCTATCCAAATATTTTATTAAGATTTGTTGAGTACATTCAATATCTTAATATGATAAATGGGATCTCATCCTACTGGGAGTCAAGTATAGGTTCCATAAATTTATGTGGGAGAGTCATAAATTTGAGTTAAATAATGGGAGCATAATTAATTTAATGAAAAACCATGTTAAATTAATTGATATATATTTTATATATTACTTTTTTACTTTTCGTCATTTATATTTATTGAATAAAGAGTAATCATATGTATTTAAGAGGTATACTGGATGCTAACAACCAAATCGAGTCTTTTTGATTGGCGCCGCAATCTGAAAATTATTCTTAGGCATTAAAAGTTGGTTATGTCTAGGGATGGCAACGGTTCGGTTCGGGGTCGGTTCGTCCAAAACCATCACCGAACCATCAATTTTTTGGTCATACCATAACCGCACCATAACCACGAAAGTCGGTTCGGTTCGGTTTCGGTTCGTATCTCGGTTCGGCTCGGTTCGGGTCGTTAATAACCACGAAAATAAATTATTTTTAATTGATCCATCCGTCGAAGTAAAATGAAAACAAAAACATGATACTAAGTTAATGTAACGAACAACAATACATCCCAAATGAAAATGCAAAAAAAATCCCAATTCTCAAACGCAAAATCCAAATTTAACAAACAATATTCAATAACTCAAAAAGCTTCAACTTCAATTCATATTCAATCTTCATTCTTCTCCACAACTCTTACTGGCATCCGTCAAAACTCAAAGTCGATTCCTATATAGTATATAAGAAATGTAGTAGAGTAATAAATCAATAATCCATAATGTTTTTAACTAAATATTTAAACAAAAAAATGTACCTCTTCGTCAACATCCTCGTCATCAAACTTTGCACAAGCTCCGGAATATGATGAAGGACCAGAATTTTCTACACACAAAAGAGGAAAAAATTAGCAATAAAAGAAAGTGCATAAATAACAAACATAAAACAATACATCCTACCATGAATATCAGACCAAAGCCAATCTCGAGCACACATTAAAGCTTCTAAAGTCTTCGGGTGAAGCCTATTTCTATGTGGGAACCCATTTTCCCTAATGTCCCATAATACTAATGCAATGAATTAAATCCATACTTCAACATGGGCGTGCACTTTAGTTCCTTCAAATATAGAAAAACTCAAATACAGCGAAAGCAGAAGAAGATGATTCGGTATTTCATTTACCTCAAATAGTGGTCGGACTGTCGGACTGTCGGAGGCAGGAGCAATGAAGCCGTGGCTGTGTGCGTTGAACCGGTGATGTCGTGAAGTTAAGTAGTTAACTGTCTGGACTCTGGAGGCAGTGAGGCGTCAGGCGTGGAGGCTGGAGCTGTGGTTGCCGGCTGCGTGAGTGTGGTCTGTGTTTGTCTGTTTGATTTCACTGATTTGTGAAGTAAGGGTTAAGGGTAAGGAGTAGGGACTGTAGGGTTACAATTACACTCTCATAAGTCATATAGGCCGAACCCGATTCTATAATTTCTTATGGGTTATGGTAACTGGGCTGTGGGGAGTTGGGCTGGACGACTGGTATAGTGAATGTATTGGGCTGGGCAGAATTTTATTTTGGGCTGGATAAAAATAGTGGAAATCCAATAATTATTATTAATTTTTTTTTTTTTTTACGGGTAATCGGTTCGGTTTCGGGGCAAGGGTGTAAATACCATACCCGCCCCGCCCCATAGCGGTTCAGCAATATCAAATACCATACCCGCCCCATTGCACCATCGGTTCGGTTTTTTTCGCCCCATTCGGTTCGGTTAACCACGGTTTTCGGTTTTGACAGTTCGAATTGCCATCCCTAGTTATGTCATTGGGTAGCCCTTTCCAGAGACACCTATTGATGACTCAATTAAGGAAAAGGTGGTTGTTATAATAAACGAGTGGATGTCTATAGTATTGCATATATGTGATGCTTGCAACTATATCACCTGAGTTACAAAAGCAACATGATAATATAGATGCTAACACGTGATTTTTCATTTCAAAGAGTTGTATGATGATAATCATATGTGGAAGGATATGAGACTTCCAGGCAACTATACCATTGCAAAATGATAGAAGAATCTTCAGTTAGTGCTTATGTATTGAAGATGATTCGCTTTGAGAAATTGTCTCAATCGGGTTCAGTGATGAACCATGAGCTAATTATTGACTTAGTTCTGCAATCTTTGTCACATATAGCTATTCACAATTTATTATGAAGTTTGATATGAATAAGCTCGAGTGTATACTCATTAAGTTGCTGAACATGCTTAAGACTGTTAAGCCCAATATCAGAGTTAATAGCGAGCAAGCCATTGATTCATCTAAGCATACTAAGAGGAAGTCTAAAGGGGCTTTAGGAAAGCATCAAAGATGGCTAAGACGATCAAAGCAAATAAGGACATTATCAAATCTAATGGCCCTTGTTATCATTTTGGAATGATAGGTCATTAGAAGAGAAATTGCAAGGCTTATATCTACTTCATTAGCTTCTTAGGTATTTGATACCAAATATAGATATCATATTTATACAAATATGAAGAAACTAAATAGAGTAGACCACTGTAAAAGGGAGAAGTTGACCTGCATGTTGAAGATGAGCAAAGGTTGTTGCACTGCCTGTAAGAGCATACTTCTTGCTATTGCCATTAGGCTTAGTATTGGAATTAAAGAAATATTACTTTATACCTACCATTACTAGAATATTAAATAAATTTCATGTTTGGACATGAATTATTTTTATCTTAAGGACAATTGTTGTTCCCTTGTATCATGATAAGATCTTAGCGATTATGGTAAATTACGAAATGACATTTATATTCTAAATACTAAGTATTCTATAATGAGTGTAGAAATTAAGAGATATAAAAGTGATAATCAAAATAACACCTAAATCTAGTATTGCGGATGTGGTCACATTAATGAAAATTCAATTCCAAAATTATATAGAGATGTATATTTGGGATCAGTTAATTTTGAATCAATTCAAAGAGGGAATCATGCTTATTAGGCACAATGACCAGATCTCCTTTTATTTGAAAATGAGGAAGGTTTGCATAATTACTGGTCTAATACATAGTGACGTAAATGGACCCAAGTCAATTGATACAAGATAAGTTTCTCTTATTTCATCCATTTACTTAAGATCATTTCAGAAATGGTCATGTATACTTGATGAAATTCAAGCATGCGTTCTTAAAAGGTTCAAGGGATTCAAGCTAGAAGTAGAGAAACAAATAGGTAAAGATATTCTTACATTAAGATTAGATCGAGATAGAGAATTTTAGATTACCTAAAAGAGAATGAGATTCCGTCGAAGTAGACTCTACCATATATACTGTAGCATAATGGTGTATTTGAACAGAAGAATCGTACATTATTATATATGGTGCAATCAAACCATGCAAACCTTCCAAAATCGTTTGGGGTTATGCACTAATTTCTGCATGCTAAACACTAAATCGTGTCTCAACTAAATTGGTCGACAAAACTCCATACGAGTTATAGAATGGAAAAGGACCCAACTTATTTCATATGAAATTTTGGGGCTATGACGCTTATGTGAAGTGCACCGAATCGGATAAGTTTAAGACTTTATTCGATAAATAAGTATTTGTAGGATATCCAAATAGATATTTGGATATCAATTCTATAAACCCATTGAGAAGAAAGTCTTCATCTCACGACATTCCATATTCCTAGAGAAAGAGTTCATTTTAGGAGAGGACAATGGGAGAAAAATAGAACTCGAAGGAGTTCAAGAATTTAGAGATATAGTTAACCAAGTAGATGAATTTGATCCCACACCTAATGAGGGACGTACTCTTGATTAGGAAGTAAAGACTCCTGAGAACATGTCAGCTTTGTGTAAATTTGGTAGGATCATTCGACCTTCAAAAAGGTGTAAATCCATGATTACTAATCAAACATTGCTAATCGATGATGATGAACCTACTAATTACACAAAAACAAAGTTAAGTATTAACTCAAAGAGATGGCTGGAGGCCATGAAATTTGAGATGGACTCGATGTATATGAACAAGGTTTAGACCTTAATCTACCAACTTGATGGGATAGGACCCATAGGTTGTTAATGGGTTTACACGAAATGGTCGGCATAGATGGAAACTTGCTTACATACAAAGAGAGGCTAATAGCAAAAGGTTACAAACAAAGACAAAAAGTTGGCTTTGATGAAACCTTCTAGCCAATAGCCGTACAAAAGTCCATTCGGATTTTGCTTGCAATAGCTACATATCATGACTATGAGTTATGGCAAAAGGATGTCAAAGTTGCATTCCTTAACAAGAATTTACAAGAGAAAGTGTACATCACATGACACGAAAGTTTCGAATCCAAATTTGCTTACAAGGTATGCAAGAATGATCAATTCTTATATGGATTGAACCAAGCCTCTTGGAACCGAAATCTTCGATTTGATGAAAAAATCAAAAGTTTTAATTTTATTAAAAATGAAGACGAATTGTGTGTTTACAAGAAGATAGTGGAAGTATTATCGCATTCCTAATATTATATGTATAAGACATATTATGAATAGGAAACGACATCCCTACATTTCAATCGTTGAAATTGTGGTTGTTAAAGGATTTCTTCATGAAAGATATGGAAGAAGCAACTTGATCTATAAAGATAGATCTAGGATATTGCTTACTTATCCCAATCTATAGAGATAAAATTTTAAGAAGATTTTGTATAGAGAAAATGAACTGGGAGTTCATGGATGCACTGATGCAAACTTCTAGTCAGGCTAGAATGATGGCAAATCTCAAACAGGATATTTGTTTACTCTTAAGCGATATTTGGAAAGGTTCCAAACACGAAACTACTATTGATTCAATAGCAAAAGCCTAATACACTATTGCTTTAGAAACAACAAAGAGTTGTGATGTGGATCAAGAAGTTCAAAAATGAACTTGGCATAGTTTCTAACATTATTGATCACATACCATTATATTATGATAACAATATATCCATTGCGCAGGCAAAGGAGCTAAGATCTCATCAATGATCTAAACATGAGTTAAAGTGATATCATCTCATCAAAGAGATAATACAAAGAAATAACATAAAGAAAGGAACGAATTCCCACAATTGATAATACTGCAGATCTACTGACAAAGAGTTATCGCAGTGTAAACATGATCTTCATATAGACTCTTATGATATTAGATACATAAGTAATTGGATCTAGTACAAGTGGGAGTTTGTAAGTGTTATGTCCTAAGTCGAATCAACTTTGGACATAGGAACTTTTAATATCTAGAAGATGCAATTTCATGGAAGATCTATTATTTAATTAATATTCAATTATATTAAATAATAGAGTCGGTAAATTCAAGTTTTGGTAATTTGTTAATCATAAGGAATTGCGATTGTAAGATACAAAATACGTATGATTGAATCTTAAATCATTTATGGTTGTAAGTAATGATGATGGATATTGTTATTATGGATAGACCACTACGTGTAGCATTTCTTACTTATGAAGTAAATAGCTGATCTCACAAGTTAAAGTGTGGTGACATTTAAATGGATACGTGGATGTCTTTTGTCATAAAACAAAACATTAGAGACCTGCAGGGAGATTCTACATAGATAACTTTCTGAGTGTCAATAGTTAATGTCTGACGTTCGATAATGGAATTGGTTCTTTGACTTGAGGTCATCATAGTACTTTATATAAGGATAGTCATACTTTGTTGATGTTGGATGTTGCTCTACCAAGGGTCGCTATTACGACATCATTTGGGTATGTCAAGAATCATATGAAGGTTGTGAATGATCAATAGAGGATTCTTCATTCTTAGATAGTAAGAGATTATAATCTACATTTCATTCAATTAAGTTGATAACGAAATCCTTGGCCAAAGTGTATTCATAAGTCAAAAAAGAGATTTTGATTAGGATCGGGTTAGGAGATGGGCCAAGCCTGTTTGGGCTTACATAAATGAGCTGCTAGGGTTGGAAAATTGCAGGGATTTTCATTATATTTACGAGCACAAGAAAAATAAAACCCTGTTTCTTTCTCAATCTTGTTCC